CCTACTTACAAACGGGGTGAGGCAACTCCACACTAGCTGCTTCCCCCCAGCAGACCAGGGAGATGCGAAGCTAGCGCCCCCCCACCCCAGCAGACCAGGGAGAGGTGGAGCGGCTTTTCTCAGCAGACACTTCAGCTTGAGAATAAAGGGCTGAGGGAAGTGAGGTGTGGGAGAATAAAACTGAGCTCTGGAGAAATGTTTGGCTAGAGTTTCCCCTACAATATGTACCAGTTCCGACTTACATACAAATTCAACTTAAGAACAAACCTACAGTCCCTATCTTGTACGTAACCCGGGGACTGCCTGTACTATGAACTATTGTCTCTGAACACTTCTACAACGCTTTCCAGAACTGCTGAGAGAACTTTCTTCCACCCTGTTATTAGATCAAGAGTTCTTTTTGCTTCTTGTGTGACTTGCTTTGCTTACAGGCCAGCTGGCCTTTTCAACTTGGATCAACTGGTCTCTGTGTTGTTTCTACCCACTTCCAGCTACTTAAGCTATTCTGAACTGTTGCTTCCTTACCTGAGGCATCGCCGATAGCAAGCTGAGGAAAATCAAAGTGCACAGACAGGCTCAACTGGAGAGGATATTCTCAACTGGGGCAATATGGAACTTGACTTCACTCATCTAATAATCTTGGCATAGAATTCCCTTTTGGCCTTCCCAATAATAAGAAATGGAGGGCTTTTTAGTTCTTTATTATGCAGTTCTCACTGTCATCAGAGTTGTAAAAGAAAGGTTTTCTTTTAAGATAGAAATCTTATATTGAAGTTAGCCACCTTATATTGTCTGAGATGAAACGTTTTTGTAAAACCCTTTTTACTGAGTGGTAAAAAGTATTAATAATAGTTTGGTTGGAGTATCCAGGAACCTTCATATCATTAGAATATATTCTTGTCATTATGCAATACATTTTTATACACGCAGGTGGTTATCCTTTTGATATCTAATTTTAGTTTTATTTTTAAATACTAAACCAAATACTTGTTTGTTCTTGTGAAGAGATTATCTGAGTACAGTAAAACTCCAATTGTCCGGCATCCAGTGGTCCGGCACTCCCGATAGTCCAGCACCAACTGGAACCCGGAAGTGCTCCGGACAATTGATACTGCTGTGAGCCCCATGGGCGCTCGCAGCTGGGAAAGGGAAGGGGAGAAGGGGGGAAGGGGATTATACCCTTGTGACGGGTCTGCTGGGACCCGCACTGCATCCTGCCGGGGGGTGGGCGGGGAATGGCGCAGTGAGGGGCGAACCCTCCGCTGTTTTGCAGGAAGGCGGGGGAAGCCCCGCGCAGCCGCCAGTGACAGGCCAGCTGGGGAAACCCAGCCACTGACCTGCAAGCAGCATCAGAGGAAAGGAGGCGAGAGCTAAGTCCCCGAACTTGCCCCGTTCCGGCTGCGCTCAGCCCCATGCCATTGCTGAGAGTTTCCAGGAGGGGAGCGGGCTTCCCTCCCCTCAGACTGCAGTAGTTATCGCTGAGCAGGGGGTTGAGGGGTGGCGCTGCGGGACCAACCCGGCAGCACCCCAGCTGCTCTGCTCCGCCACTTCCCCAAGTCCACCGCTCGTCAGTTTCAGTTTCACTGTTGTTTTGAATTCTGATTAGAATATTCTTAATAAGGATAATTGGTTGGATTCCCATGTCAACCTAACCTTGTATAGTGCAAAACAGGGAGTAGCTGTGTTAGTCTGTAACTGGAAAAACTTAAAAAACAACGAACAGTCTAGCAGCACTTTAAAGACTAACAAAACATGTAGATGGTATCGTTAGCTTTCGTGGGTACAACACACTTTTTTAGGTATTGCAGTAAGTAAATAAGTTAAGAGGGCAGATTTTGATACTTGATTGACTGAGTTTTCATTAGTAATAGCCAATTTATGATAATCTTGATAGCTTTGATGTGTTAAGATGAAAATAACAGATAGAGACCGAGCTTTATATATGTACACTACATACAAATATCAATGAATGTTAATATCTGTGAAGATAAGAGACTTTTTGAACACATGTAACTGGATAACTCTAAATGTACTAATCATCTGAAGAAGTTCATAAGTGTATTGTTTATTCCATTAACAGTAAGGTTTCAAATTTGCGTCCATCATTCAAAGTTCAGACATTAAAATACTGTATGAATCAATTATAGGGTGTGCTAAAGCTTTCCACTTTTGGGAAGTGCTCCATGATGAATGTGATATTTATACCTGATTCCTGTTCCCTTTAACATACAAATTTGACCTCTGTCCTCTACAAGCCTTCTGTTATTTGTCATTTATTGTTATAAATTTAAATCAGAAATTTTGAATCATAAAGTGAGATGAAAGAAAACATCTTTTAATACTAAATTAATGAAACCTATATGCCTTTAAGCTACATTTCCCCCCCTCTTATTGTCCTTTCTCTAGCATTTGCTTGGATGGGATTTGAGGGATAAAATATAGATCAATGAATGCTTATTGTTACTATTTGTCAAATGGTAGCATGCAAAAGTTCAAGTTTGGGAGACTAGCATGTTAAGTGTTACGCACAAACTTTGAAAACACAATCCATTCCCTGAAGAACTTGCATATTCGTATTTTGTAGTGATAGGAGAAAGCTAGCACCTATATATTTTAGCATCTAACAATTTGTGCAGAATTTAGCTATCCACCGTGTTTATCTGCAGGTGGAAGTTCATCATTAGTTTATCCTTAGGAAGTCTGTTTTTTCCCCAGAAGGTGCTACAGGCAGTCCCCGACTTACGCGGATCCGACTTATGTCGGATCTGCAGTTACGAACGGGGCTTTTCTCACCCCGGAGGACACGGGTGGCGGGACCCCCAGACGTGCCGTGGTCCTGCCACCTGCATCTTCCGGGGCGAAAAAAGCTGCTCCGCGTCTCCCTGGTCTGCTGGGGGGAGGTCCCCAGCAGACCAGGGAGACGCGGAGCAAAGCTGCGGAGGATGCGGGCGGGACTGCGGCGCGTCTCGGCAGCCCAGAGCGGCGCTACGGGACCAACCAGCAGCGCCCCAGCTGCTGTACCACAGGCGTCCGGAGCAAAGCCGCGGAACACGGGGGCAGCGGGACAGCCCAGACGCGCCACGGCCAGCAGGACCGCGGCGCGTCTCAGTGGTCCCGCTGCCCGCATCTCCCTGGTGTGCTCCCTGGTGTGCCCAGCTAGTGTGCCCCCCCCCAGCAGACCAGGCTTTTCTCGCCGCCGACGCCTGGGGTAGAGCAGCTGGGGTGCTGCCAGGTTGGTCCCGCAGCACCA